CCGGGAGCGGCCACTGCACTCCAGTCTGGGCAAGAGTGAGACTCCAACTCAAAAAAAAAATTTATTGTAGAAACGAGGTCTCACCAAGTTGCCCAGGCTGGTCTCAAACCTGTGGGCTCAGGCAGTCCTCTCCCCTGGGCTTCCCAAAGTGCTGGGATTATAGGTGTGAGCCACCACGCCCGGCCTGGGTGGAGGTTCTTTAAGACTGTGTGGATACCCTATACCTCATCTAACTTCATCCACAAATGTTTGCATCCGTGATGATTTTCCAACTCCATTATTCCTTTTACATCTACTTACTCTACAGTAAGGAAGACCTTTCCCTTCTCTTTTATTTACTGATTTATTTATTCATGTACTTACTGTCAATATAGGCTCTGGATTTCTCTTTTTTTTTTTTGAATTGGAGTCTCACTCCGTCACCCAGACTGGAGCGCAGTGGCCGTTCCCAGCCACCGCAGCCTCGACCTGCTGGGCTCCAGCGATCCCTCCGCCTCAGCCTTCCAAGTAGCTGGAACTATAGGCGGGTGCTACCATGCCCGGGTAATTTTTTGCTTTATTGTAGAGATGAGGTCTCGCCAAGTTGCCCAGGCAGGTCTCGAACCCGTGGGCTCAGGCAATCCACTCACCTCAGCCTCCCAAAGGCGCGGGATTACAGGCTGAGCCACCGAGCCCGGCCTCTTTTTTTTTTTTTGAGTTGGAGTCCCCGTCATTTAGGCTAGAGTGCAGTGGCACGCTGCTCATGGCCACCGCAGCCTCAACCCGTTGGGTTCAGGCGATCCTTCTGCCTCAGCCTTCCAAGTAGCTGGAACTATAGGCGGGTGCTACCATGCCCGGGTAATTTTTTGCTTTATTGTAGAGATGAGGTCTCGCCAAGTTGCCCAGGCAGGTCTCGAACCCGTGGGCTCAGGCAATCCACTCACCTCAGCCTCCCAAAGGCGCGGGATTACAGGCTGAGCCACCGAGCCCGGCCTCTTTTTTTTTTTTTGAGTTGGAGTCCCCGTCATTTAGGCTAGAGTGCAGTGGCACGCTGCTCATGGCCACCGCAGCCTCAACCCGTTGGGTTCAGGCGATCCTTCTGCCTCAGCCTTCCAAGTAGCTGGAACTATAGGCGGGTGCTACCATGCCCGGGTAATTTTTTGCTTTATTGTAGAGATGAGGTCTCGCCAAGTTGCCCAGGCAGGTCTCGAACCCGTGGGCTCAGGCAATCCACTCACCTCAGCCTCCCAAAGGCGCGGGATTACAGGCTGAGCCACCGAGCCCGGCCTCTTTTTTTTTTTTTGAGTTGGAGTCCCCGTCATTTAGGCTAGAGTGCAGTGGCACGCTGCTCATGGCCACCGCAGCCTCAACCCGTTGGGTTCAGGCGATCCTTCTGCCTCAGCCTTCCAAGTAGCTGGAACTATAGGCGGGTGCTACCATGCCCGGGTAATTTTTTGCTTTATTGTAGAGATGAGGTCTCGCCAAGTTGCCCAGGCAGGTCTCGAACCCGTGGGCTCAGGCAATCCACTCACCTCAGCCTCCCAAAGGCGCGGGATTACAGGCTGAGCCACCGAGCCCGGCCTCTTTTTTTTTTTTTGAGTTGGAGTCCCCGTCATTTAGGCTAGAGTGCAGTGGCACGCTGCTCATGGCCACCGCAGCCTCAACCCGTTGGGTTCAGGCGATCCTTCTGCCTCAGCCTTCCAAGTAGCTGGAACTATAGGCGGGTGCTACCATGCCCGGGTAATTTTTTGCTTTATTGTAGAGATGAGGTCTCGCCAAGTTGCCCAGGCAGGTCTCGAACCCGTGGGCTCAGGCAATCCACTCACCTCAGCCTCCCAAAGGCGCGGGATTACAGGCTGAGCCACCGAGCCCGGCCTCTTTTTTTTTTTTTGAGTTGGAGTCCCCGTCATTTAGGCTAGAGTGCAGTGGCACGCTGCTCATGGCCACCGCGGCCTCGACCTGTTGGACTCAGGAAGTCTTTCTACCTCAGCCTTCCAAGTAACTGGAACTACAGGTGTGCCACCATGTCCAGCTACTTTTTAAATTTACTGTAGAGACAAGGTCTCACGATGTTGCCCAGGCTGGTCTCGAACCTGTGAGCTCAGGCAATCCTCTCACCCCAGCCTCCCAAAGTGCTGGAATTACAGGCATGAGCTGCTGTGCCTGGCATGGGTTTTTTTATCCAGTGGGGTTATAACCTGTACCTAGCATTATTTTATTGTTCTGATCATCTCAGATTTGGCCCATGGGAGCCCTGTAAAGCTGGCTCCTGTGTGAGTGGGCATCTGTTTGGAAGAGGGGATTTCCTGATGGGTTGGATGGGCTGTGTGTCAGAGAGGAGGCTGAGGTTCGTTCTTTGGTAAATTCCTGTCTACCAAAACGGAATAGATCTGTGATAAACGCAGACAAAAGTCCCTGCCTTCTTGGGGCTCATGTTCTTGTGCTTGTGATACTTAGTTTCTGCCCAAGCCACTGGGGGTGAGATGGTGCTGATTTCAGGACAGGGATGAATTGTAGACAGGTTAAGTGGTGAAGCCTGGGTTGAGAGAGGTTTCTGGGTTAAGAGGAGAAGCCTGGGTTAAGTGAGGTGCCCAGGTTAAGTGGAGAAGCCTAGGATAAGTGAAGAAACCTGGGTTAAGTGGAGATGCCTGGGTTAAGCAGAGATGCCCGGGCTAAGTGGAGATGCCTGGACTAAGTGAGGTGCTTTGGTTAAGTGGAGAAGCCCAGGTAAACTGGAGATGCCCATGTTAAGAGAAGCCTGGCTTAAGTGGAGAAGCCTGGGCTAAGTGAGATGCCTGGTTTAAGTGGAGCAGCCCGGGTTAAGTGGAGAAGCCTGCAGACCAGCCTTGGCTCCCACTCCATCCCCTCCTTCAGCCCCACACTTCCCATTTAATGGTTTCCTGCTCTTTTTCTTCACTTGACAGCCAGGACAATGCAGACTCCACTGACCATTCCTGTGCCTGTGCCTGTGCTCCGGCTCCCCCGGGGCCCTGACGGCCTGAGCCGTGGCTTTGCCCCCGATGGACGCAGAGCCGCCCTGAAGCCAGAGGTTCCTGCAGTCCAGGAGTGCCCCAGAGTGCAAGACTCTGGAGAGTCCCAGGAGCAGCGGGCCCGAGCTGCCCTCCGGGAGCGCTACCTCCGCAGCCTGCTGGCCATGGTGGGCCGTCAGGTGAGCTTCACATTGCACGAGGGTGTGCATGTGGCTGCCCACTTTGGAGCCACCGATCTGGACGTGGCCAACTTCTACGTGTCACAGCTGCAGACTCCCATAGGTGTGCAGGCTGAGGCACTGCTCCGATGTAGTGACATCATTTCATACACCTTCAAGCCATAAAGACATTGTGTTCACCTTTCTGCTTTTGGCTTAGCTACAGCATCCCAGGCCTCCAAATATTCCTGACCCAGGAACTCTGGGTCGGTAGGGTTATGAGCTCCCTTGGACTTTTCAGTCAAGCTCCAGGCAACTCTGGACTCCTGAGACCTCCCAGGTCTAGTCAGTAAAATTCTGCAACGCTAGGAATTCTAGATCCCGTTGAAAGGAATGCTCTACCTCAGAACTCTGAACTCTACTGCACACTCTGTTCCAAGCAGCCTCATACAAAGGCAGTGATACAGAAATATGGGGCCGACGCCATTTCTTGAAGACTGGGGCGGGGGAGGGGGGTATTGGGATGGGAAGTTGTTTATGGAAGAGGTTGCAAAGCTCAGCCACCCTGAACAGACTCCCAGTGGTCCCCTCCTGCTAAAGAACCAATTATCCCAAGAAAATTCGACTCGTGTGTGTGTGTGTGTGTATAACATACCCACGGGGATGGGGCCATATCTAGGGGTGGTTATCCACGGGCTGAATCCTGTGGAGCTGGGCCAAATAGGAGATGAATCCGGATAAAGGTGTAGGACTGCACCGCCGCAAGTCTCCTGGGATGGCTGGAGCGGCCAGAACGTTGGGATCCGGAGATTTGGACTCGAGTTCATTTTTGGGCTGGCAGGGATGCACCTTACAAAGCCAGGGGTGTGGCTCGCCCCGGCCACGTGGTCGTGCACGCTCGCTCCCCCCCGCGGCCCCGCCTCTGGCTGGCCCGGACTGCACGCGGAGCCGCCGATTCGCTTTCCCCTCGCACCGGACGGAGGGTAGGGCCCGTGCGGCGGCCCCACTGACAGCCTCAGGGTCAGGGTGAGGCTTCACCTGCTCCCCGTTTCCCCAGCCTTGGCGCGTGGCTGTCCATATCACTCGCTTCACTTAGCCCCTGCTACCAGTCACCTTTCCGCAGACTGTTGAAAAAGAAAGTGGTTTCTGCCCTCTTTGGAGGTTCCTTTAGGGTCAGTGCAGGCGGAGGCTGCCTTTAAGTGGAGGCGAGGTTTCCTCTGTGCCGCGAAAGTGCGGCGGCCGACGGAACGGGGCAGGCGTACAGCCTCGGCTACTGTCCGTTCATCCACCACGCCGCCTCTGGCCAGTCGGAGCCCAGCTCTCCGGTTGCCTTGGCAACGACGCGGCTCGCTCCGCCCCGAGTCCCCATTTTTCCCTCAAGGGCTTCGGCCCCGCCTTTCCCAGGTTGCGTGATGCCCCCCCCCGCCAAAGCAAGGTGAAAGTGCGGAGGCGAATATCAAGCGATTGAACTGAGCTGGGGGGGGGGGTGTGGCTTGAGGTCGCGGGGCCCATTCTGGTCCATCCACCTTTTTCATCACCGGTATTTCGGTCGGCAGATTCGTCTCCAGCCTTTGGAATTTCTTCCATTTTAAAATCAAGGCTATGATATCCCTCAGGGGCTCATATTTATTTTAAAGCTGTAGCTCAAGTTATAATTGATGCAGCCCTACCAGAGACAGAGCGCTGTTGATGTAACCGCAGCCTGCAAACGGACAACTATGAGACTAGCCAGGGGCCGTGCCTTCGTCTCCAGGAGATCCCTTTTGTCGACACCCAGCACCTGTACTCGTATGTCCAACGCAGCTCCTGTCGCCTTTCCGTTCGACTTCTCCATCCCTTTACCTCTCTTCCTCTGTTGGCCCGGCCTCAGATGTTTTCATTTCTATCAATTACACCACCTCCAGTGCCTTGCTCATGACGAATGTGCGCGAGCCCGAACGTTGGTTTTCTAGACTGAGGCGGGGAGGCGGAACTGAGGTTCGCGCTTGCACGCTGCTCTGGGAGACGGCGTCCACTTCGCCCCGCCCTTCATCGTCTGCAGTTCCGGCTCTGCAGATTCGCCGCTCACGTTTCTTTGTTCCGAGGGTTTTTCTGCCCTTTATTTCTCTCTTCAAATCCCCGTCGACTAAACTCTACCTGCATGTAGCTTAAGGTAACTTCCTGCCGCTTTTAGTACGCGGCGGGCTCGCCAGCCTTCAGCGAAAGTGCGACTGCGAACGAGCAGGCGCGCGCGGGGCTCGGCGGAGGCGCGCTTGGGCTCCCGGCGGCGACGATTACGACGACGAGAGCGGACAGAGGCGGCGCCTGAAGCAGCGGCGGAGCTCATGCCCCGGGACGGCGGGCGGGCCCGGAGAGAC